CCCGTCCGTATACACGAATAAGGAAACGCACTCGTTTTCGTTCGTGTCCACGAGAGAGAGAGCGTATACGGTACGATGTCTAATCGTGATATCTAGTCCCGTGTCGATCGTTACGCGCGATCGTCACCACGATCCGTGCTGCATCGTCGCGGGGCGAGCAAACGAAACAATCGAACGAGAAACGACAAAGAAATTCGAGAGAAGAAACGCTCGACGAGCGAAAAAGTTCCCGCTCCGCCGTCCGTGTTTACTTTTGGCACTTTTTATCCGGCTACCAGCTAATCTTGCGAGCGCGCACGGCCACGCGTTCTCGTTTAACCGCTGACGCGAGAGCTACGGATCCGGTGCAAACGCTCTACTCTCGATTCATATCGAGTAAACGCCGCGCGCAATTTTTTTTCTTCTGTCTACCTTTTTCTCTTTTTATCTTTTTTTTTCCCTCCATTTTTCTCTTTTTGCAATTTTTCCTAACAAGTTCACGCCAAAATCGAAACGTTCCGTGTTGCATGTTGCGTTTCACGTGCAACGCGGTATAATACGCAGGCTACAATATACAAACGTTAGTCTAAGTGGTTTTTCTGCTACTCGATGATCAGGTGCGTACACATGTGCGATGCGCGCGTGCGTCACGTATCGCGAGCAGCGTATAATGTGTACAATGCACGCGGTGGTATAGTCGACCGTGTCACCACGGTGATTCTCTTTTTTATTGGTTTTTTTGTTAAAGGCATCTCTACTCGCACTGTAGCATTGGTGTTAGCTCGCGGAACATAAAAATATTGATGGAAAGGTGAAGAGAACGGGCACGGGCTCCAGATAAATACGTACGCGCAACGCGCAACACGCAAGCGCACATGCACACGCACACTTTCTGAGCGCAAATACACGTATGATTGCAAAATTTGCAAACCATCGCCTGAATTTGATCTCGGGGGATCTTTCTACGTATCGTCAACAACAGCAAACTATTGAATGTAACGCTTAAGATTAATTCAAGGTGTAACACCGATCACAATTTTCATCGCTTTCAAAAGGTAACTCCGACGACTATGTCGATACAAAAATTCCGTCAAAAATATCGCTGCTTTATCGTTTTCTACTTGTAAGAATTCAACATTCCGTTCCGGTGTCCCGTTCCGATCGTTCGTAAAAATCACCAGGGACACGCGCCACGACGGAGGGGGACGTAGGAGAAACAAGAGCTGTGGGTGGTGGTGTATCGTGTAAAATAAGAGAGCAAAGGAAAGGAAAAGGTGGGGATCGGCGAATCTGAAGTTCGATCGTCGGATATCGCGCGGTCAATAGGTCGAACGGGAGAGTCGCGGATTCGGGGTCGTGACACGCTTCTCTACTCGGCTGTAGCTGGAACCGAGAGACACCGGAAACGGATACCACGGGAAACAGTGGGGATGAGGACACTGAGCCGCGTGAGCGTCAGCGTCAACGTTAACGGGTCCTTTTCATCGAAGCAACGAACGGTACGTAGTTACTCGTGCAAAACGGTCATAAAAATAACGTTCGATGTAAACGTCAAAACGTGGAGTTGACAAAAGTAATATCGATCGGTCACGCTTTCGAGCGTCTTGGACGCTCGATGTAATAACGCGCGAAACATCACGCGGCACGCGATGTCGCGTGAAAACGAGCTCGTTATCCTTCTTCCGTGACGGCGGACCTCGAGGTTCGATACGCGTTCGCTGAGAACGCTCGTTGTGTGGTGTGCGCGCGCGAACAGAAAGAAACGGGGAAAGTATCGATGTTGCGCGGAGAATGCCTCGTAACGTCGCAAACGCGAACGCGAACGCGAGGGAAAGCTATCGGCACGTCCTTGGGAAAATGCGACCACAGCGACGCTCTCCACCCTTTCTCCCTGACCAATCGAAACGAACGATCGAAAGAAAGTGTCAAGTAGCGTCCGTCCATCTCGCGTTGCTTTCCTTAAATCGGTGATAAACGGATCATCGAGCTCGTGTGATTCAGAGAAACGAAACGCGACGAC